CGTTGCCAGGCATCGCATCTGTGCCTGCATGCAGATACTCCACTCCCCTACCCACGCAACATGCCACCCCATCACTCTGGGGGAGCCTTTTTCTTCTGTCCTCCCCGTGTGTTGCCTTCTCCTTGCATCCCAACACTACACTGTGGACATCTTTCCTCTCTTGGCACTGTAACATCTGCCTTAGTTTTTTTTAGGCCTAGAGATTGAACAAGAAGGGCCTTGCATATCTTAGGCAAGTGCTCTACCAGTGAGCTACATCCCCAGCCCTCTGCCTTAACTTAGAAAAAAAAAGAGTTCACAGCATCCCAGTAAAAGGAGAAACCTTGGAACACAGCTGATTTAGCTAGACGTCCCCTGTGGATGGCCATTTATGTGCCTCAGTGCTTTGTTCTTACAAACTGGCCAGCTTCCTCACCACCTTTAAAGCCTTTCCCTTTTGAAAACTGTATGTCCCAGGGCCGGGGATTTAGCTCAGTGATGCCATGTCTACCTCACAAGTGCAAGGTCCTGAGTTTAGTACCTGGTACCAAACCAAACCAAACCAAACCAAAACCACACCATACCTCCCACTTTGACCTCTCTCCCCCTCCTGCCTCATTTTTCTCCATAGCTCTCAGCACCGTTTGACAACTTCATAGTTCCCCAATCAGTTTCTTTAAGAAACGTCAGCTCGGCCAGGGATTTAGCTCAGTGGTTTCACCGCCTGCTGTGCAACCACAAGGACCCGAGTTTGAACCCCGGTACCAAAAAAAAGAAACATCAGCTCTTGTTTGCATTGCTGTCCAGTGACAGTAAGGAGCTAGAGGAGTAGGTGTTGGAAGGGGTAGATAACAGGGAGAGTTTAAATAGATGACGATGCCTGTGTCACTGGACCCTGGAGGGCACAAATAAAAATAGAGTCTCAGGAGCTAGTGTAGCAAGGATCATTTACTTTTTGTTCATCAAATTTTCACTTTGATAAAACAAGAATAATAGGATGTTACAAGATTATTTGTGCCTTTGATGCTTTGACTTTGTTGGGAATAATGCATTCTTCAGAAAATTACTAAGGCAGGCTGCTTTGAGACACTGGTTGCTGAGGGTAATGGAATGATTACAAGGCACAATCAAAAACTACAGTGTGTTTAATTTTTAATTACTCCAGTGAAAGACACACTGCTATTAATCCCCTTCAAAATACCTCCTCCTCTTGAATACACTTATCCCACCATTCTTGCTACTTTCGGAAGCAGCTCTTACAGTCCTTTTGTGACCTGGGAGCCAGGTCCTGACGCTTCAAGGGTCTCTTGTGCCTTTGATGAAAGAATTTAGTCAAGACACATAAGCAGCTGTGCAGAAGTATGGATAGAATTTATTGTGAAGTAGATACAGAGAGAGTTACACATTCACGTAGGAAAGGCGGGTAGAGCCATGAGGGCATCTGCCCTGACTGGGAGTCTGGATTCCTTTTCATGCACACAAGAGTTAACCCTGGGGTTCAGGGAACTAGGGAAATTAGGATGCTTATTGACATTTTTCTTAACATTTACTTTGAGATTGCAAAATCTTCTTATCCTTTTCAGATGGTCAGTGTCTTCTCAGGGGCATTAGTCATGTAAGAAACTTAGGAAAGACGTTTATGAAAGAAGTGCTTAATTTAAACCAGGTCCCAGGCCAAGGCAGCACAGAGTCTTTGAAGATGTTTCTTTTCCTGGTGTCATTGGGCCATTGGCTATGGCAACCAGAAATGCTGTTTGAATGTTCTAGAAGTAGAGGCCCTGTGTCTTTGGGTCTGAGGCCTAATATATGATTATAAATGTGTATAAATTGAGGTCTTGTGTTTCTTTGGACTCCCCTTTTGTCCCTCAGGCCTGCTAATGTCTGCTTGCCTCATACTTGTTCTTGCATGTCTTTAGTTGTGCTGTTGTGGCTGCCTTGATGTCCTGAATCAATTTAAAATGTTTACCTTCTTCAGTCATTTGTACGTGCCATATCTGATGAATAAGATGGATGAGGACACACCAATGTTTTTCATAAGGCTGCCTTTCCCTTGGATGGCACTTAGCATCAGCTTTTCACTATTTTTTATCACATCTTATAAAGCCATGAGAAGAGGACTTCCAGAACTGCTTCAGAAAGTGGCAGGAATGATGGGTCAAGTGTGTTCAAAGCAAGGGGAGTATTTTGAAGCAGATTAATGGCAGTGCATCTTCACTGTTGTAATAAATTGTTTTAATTTATACATTCCTCATATTTTTTGATCACCCCTTGTATATCAGGTTCATGTCTCATTTCCACCCAGGTCCCAGTGCATTTCTTTTCTTTTTTTTTTTTGGTGCCGGGGATCGAACTCAGGACCTTGTGCTTTCGAGGCAGGCGGCAGAACCACTGAGCTAAATCCCTGGCCTGGAAGTGTGTTTCTTGAAACAGTATTGGTGTGTGTGTTTTCTGAGTGACATTTTCTGTTCAGTGACATACCATGCAGCTTTTAACATGGTGTTATATTCAAGGAAGCACAGCTCTGTGTTTATGAGAAAGAAGAATGACAGAGGGAAAGCACCAAATGAGAACTGTGAAACTATCATTTGGGTATAGGGTCACTCCTATCACGAGGAGTAACTTTTTAGTGTATTCAAAGGATGAAAGATGAAACCACCTTGGTGTCTGCTGCAGTGTTGGTTAATTCAGGCAGTTAAGCTGGTGGTATTCACTCTGCTATTGAGTCAGGTTGACCACTGATAGGAGTAGTTGTCCCTCTGTATCCCTGGGGATGGATGCTTGAGTCCCTTATGTAAAATGCCATAGTATTTGCATAAAACCAACATACATCCTCCTATATACTTTAACTCATCCCTAGATTACTTATAATACCTAGTACAAGGTAAACACTATGTAAGAATTTGTTATGCAGTAGATGCAGTTTTCTTCCCTGGTAGTTTCAGTTTGAGGGAGGTTGAGTCCATGGATGTAGAACCCTAGGATATGGAGGGCTGACCATATTTTATTTACTCTTTTTCTCTAAATAGAGGAGGGGAAGTCATGCACCAGCGTCTCCCAAGTAATGAACCTCTTTGGGGCTAAGTCACATTGAGCTAAACTCAGCAAATACCCATGTACACATGGGGGGCTTGCTTAACAGTTTTTTTAAAGTAGTCTCAGCTGTGTTGCCCAGGCTAGCCCTGACCTCACAGTCCTCCTGCTTCAGTCTCCCAAGTAGCTGGAATTACAGACTTGCACCTCTGTGCCCAGCTTCATGATTTTTGGTGAATGATTACCATAGCTAGATAGGCTGTCCCTGTCACGTGGGCTGGGCCACATTCCTACTTCCCAGGGCAAGGTCAGCAAACTGTGGCCGTGGCCAAACATACTACCTGTTTTCCTAAGTTTTGAGGCATAGTCACAGTCGTTCCTTTATGCGCTGTCTCTGGCTACTTTTGAGATACAGAGACAGCCTGGCCTGCAGAGCCACAGGTATTTGCTGTTGAGCCTTTTACAGAAAAGTTTTTACCAAGCCCTACTTAGGGGAAGGCTTCCAGGGAGACCTGAATGCAGCCAGGAGGGTGCAGTGTGAGCTCAGAATCAGAAGGGCAGTGCAGTGTGATGGCCAGGATGCCAGGCTTAGGGCTGAGGTGGTCAAGAGCCAGCCCGTGGGGTTAATGCAGAGGTGCCTGCCCCTGTGCATTCGGAGGAGGGCAGCATCAGTGTCACCGGGAACTTATAAGAAATGCGGTCTCAGGCCCACTCCTGGGCCTGCAAGATCCAAATCTTCATCCTAACCAGATCCCCAGGGGAGCTGGGTGCGCTTTGGAGAAGCCCTGGTCTAAGGTGCTCTTAGTTCTTTAAGGCTTCGAAAGAGAAAGAGACTGTGGTCCTTATTGCACCATTTGGAGTGCTAGGCACAGAGTGCCGGGGTGGTTGCTTCAGCTTGGGGGTGGTCATCCTTAGCTGGCTGCGTGCTCCGTGAGGGCAGAGGCTGTCAGGTAAAAGGGCCTAAGACCAAGACCAGACCAGGCCACAACAAGCCTTTATTAGGGGAATAGATCTGCCGGGCTGTCTCTGAACAAAGGAGAGACAAAAGCAATATGGCCGGGGCAGGGAGAGTCTTTTATAGAGACTGGGGTGGGGTTTGTAGGGGCTGAGGCGGGGTTGACTGAGGTAGTGACTAGGGAATGGAGGAGCCGGTGATGTCACTAGGTGGTAGGAGGTGAGCGAGTATTAGGTTACTCTCTAGGTGGGAACAGGGGCATGCTGGGAAGAAGGGTTTGTTCTTTGGTGGGAGCAACCATCTTGGCATGACGTCACACAGGGGAAGGGGCAAGGCACCATAGGAAGAGGGCAGCAACTATACATAATAGCTGCTGAGGTGGTGGGAGACCTATCAGAGGCCTTGTCCTTGTTCCTGTTACTGAGTTCCCAGCATCTAGCACATTATCTGGCAGGGCGGGTGTTCAGGAGAACTTGGCTGCATGGTGATGAATACCTGGGTGAACTCATGCCACCTGCTTGCCTAGTGGCACTGGGAGCAAAGGCCTCAAAGACGGTTGGCCTTTCGTCACAGAGCTGCAGGCCCGGCTGTGTTGTTTTGTCACCAGAAGGAGTTGTGTTAGAACAACATAGTCAGCACACAGGGGAGGGTCTGCTCTTGTGTAATTCGAGGTGTCTAGATCAGCCTCATTCCTGCCTTCTGTGCTTACCAATGTTCATTTAAAGTCACCATTGACTGGGCCTGGTGGCACGGCCCTTCGGCAATGAAAACACAATCCCTCTTTGTCTCTGTGGTTTTCCTCAGCACACTTCATCTCGTGTTTTCGGTACATTTATTGTGACGGTTATGTGGGGGCAACAGTATTCACCTGTTGGTGTTTTTTAATTTTTTTTATTTTAATTAATTAATTTATTTATTTTTGGTACCGGGGATCGAACTCAGGTCCTTGCGCTTGCGAAGCAGGCGGCAAAACCACTGAGCTAAATCCCTGGCCCTGTCGGTGTTTTTTTAATTGGCTCTGCTGTGTGCTTCTCAGACTTCTGCAGCTGGACAGCGCGGTGCAGAATGCTGTGGAACGTAGCTGCGTTACTCAGCCTGGTCCTAGGCATTGGCGCTCTTCCCACCAGTGTGGATGACGACCCGGAGGACAGCGGCAAGCACTGGGTGGTGATTGTCGCAGGCTCCAACGGCTGGTATAATTACAGGCACCAGGTAAGAACATGGCTTTTCCCGTATGACACTGGCATCTGTTGACAATCCTGGACGTTGTCAGTAGAAAAGATCTTTTGCAAAACATTTTACATACCTGGTAGGCTGGCTGAGCTATGGGTGCTGGCAAGAATGTGGAGAAGTTGGACCCCTCATACATTATGAGGGAGCTTACCAAACCACATAGCCATTTTGAGAGACAGTTTGGCAGTTCTTCTGAAGTTCCTATGGGGTCACCTTAGTCTAATGCAAGGCTTCTCAACTCGGGCACTCTTGACACTTGGGTCAGGTGACTGTTGCTGGCAGGGCTGTTGAGCATTGTTTTGTCTAGCAGTGTAGGGAACAGGGGAAGGGGATGTCACCAGAACCTCTGCAGTGAGTCCTGGTCTCCTGCGAGCCACGGCAGCACACGGGAAATTACAGGAAAGGTATAGACAAATGAGAAGAAGCTGAGCTTTGGGTCTGATCAGTGCTGCTCTGGGCAGCAAAGACAAAAGCCCCCTAGCTTGCAGCACTTTTTATTCAGTACAGGGGGAAACAGATGTAACAAGTGAAAATGCAGAGTTCAGTACTTTACGTTGGGATAAACAGGGTGTAAAAAGACTGGGGGGCAGTGGAAATCTAAGAACAATGAGGAGCTATGCAGATGAAGATTTGGTTCCTCCCTGGAGTCTCCCGAAGGTGTGGTCTTGCCCTAGAGCATTACAGCATCCGAGGATCACTGAGGTCTCAGTTGTGACCCGAGGCCAAAATACAATTCTGTCTGAAATGTCATAGCTGGCCTGTAGGCAGGAGAACTAGGCCTACTCAAATGATTTTTCCCTAAAATTATGTAACATTGCTCCCAACATAGCAGCATCCTCAGTGTCTGCCCCTAGATACCAGGGGCATTGCCCGCCCATCTGTAACGACCCCAAAAGCCTCCAGACAGTCGAGAAGTTTCCTGGGGGCAAGAACCACATGGGTTGAGACCCACTGGTCTAACATCTTTCTCTTATAGATAAGGGGAGGAGGCCTACAGAGAGGAGATGACTTACCCAAGGCCATAGAGCGAGCAGAGGCAGACAGGACTGAAGCCCTGGGCTCTGGTGTATGCGCCCCACACCCTTCTGCCCTCCACAACTTGGCCAGGCTCCTCTCCTAACCCTGTGTCCCTGTTTACCTGTTTGAGGACTGGCCAGACTAGTCCCCCACTCCTGGGAGTATACTCAAGAGAAGTGAAAACACGTGCACACAAAAAAGCTTGTGTGTTGCCAGGCATGGTGGCACACGGCTGTAATCCCAGCACTCGGGAGGCTGATGCAGGAGGATCACCATTAGTTCAAGTCTTGCCTGGGCTACATAATGAGTTCAAGGTCAGCCTGGACTACAGAGCGAGACCCTGTCTCAAAAACCAATGCTCATAGCATCCATACTTGTGAAACGAGGAAGTGTGCCCTACGGCAGGGCTGTGCACAGTAGATCCAGTTCTCAGTCCCTCTTTACAGATGATTGGGTGAGGGTGGGTCCTGGGAAATTTTCTATTAGCTGCATTTTAAAAACTAAAAGCACTGGGCTGGGGCTTTATCTCAGTGGTTTCTCTCAGCCTGCTGTGCAAGCCCAAGGACCCAAGTTCGATCCCTGGTACCAAAAAAAAAAACAACAACAAAAAACCTAAAAGCACAGGCTGAATTAATATCTTACTTTAACAGATATGTTCAAGCCATTACCATTTCAACGTGTAATCAATACAGTCATTAATAATGAAGTAGTAAGTTGCATTCTTTTTGGTGCTAAGTCATTGGAATCCAGTGTGTCTTGCACTCCCGCCTTACCTCAGTTTGGACCGGCTACATTTCCAGTGCATAGTTGCCACCGGTGGCCAGTGGCCCCATGCTGGATGGCACAGGGACAGCCTGTGCCCCTGGGTACCTCTTGGTGCTCCCCATCACCTTAGAACTGGGGCAGGTACATTTTCCCACAGCGTGTTTATTTTTATTTCACATCTGTTAAACATGGGGGGCGCTGATTTAGCTGAAGTTATGACTCATTCCTTGAGTGGTTTTTTGTGTGTTAGCCAAACAGGAAATTAGCTTGATTAAAAAGTTGTTATCATAACAAAATGATCCCTGTCCTTTTAATACTTAACCACCACTGGAAGAGGAGCCACTGGTGCCTCTGGCTGTTCAGGTCAGTCTCCCCCTCCCTCCCTAACCACGAGTTAGATAAGTTGTAAGTCTAGTGAACACACTGAATCTTTGGCCACTGTGGTTTTTATTCAATCTTTAAAATAATATATCGGTTAAACATTAAACAGGACTTATCCAATTGCCCTGGCTCTCAGAGACCTTTTTTTTTTTTTTTAATTCAAGTGTTACTGGTTTATTGAATGAGAAAGAAGGGAAGCAGGTCAAAAATAGTGGCCACAGATCAAAATCTTTGTCCCCAAATACTCCTATTTGGGATAGTCACATTGAGGCTCTGTGGAGGTGAACTGTGTGCTGAACTGTCCTGACCTCAGGCTGAGTTCCTGCTGGCCTGTGAATGTTCCCCAGCCAGCCACCAACATGGGCTTCCTCAACATGGGAGATTACACACAAAGAATATCCGAGAGAACTTTCTACATAGGACCTGATGCGTTGGTGGTGGTTTCCATCTTCTTTGGATTAATCCGACACCCACTATCAACGATCTCTTGTTCAGGGAGGGTTAATGCATTGGGCACCATCACGACCATTGCCAAGTACTTTGCTCTGCTCTGCGGTGGTTATTTTCGACTTGTTTTATCTTGACCAAGTTAGATTTTTGTTTTCCACTTTGACAGTTAGCAGAGGGGGCTGGCCCCAGGTGTGCCAGTAGGACCTTCTACCTCCAGGTACCTGAGGGAAGGGTCCAGGGTAAGTGGGCTGTGCTGTCTTCGGGTGGCCTGGAGGGTGGGGAGCCTGCTGAACATGCCCGGAGAGGGGCTGTGGTGGTGGCTGGGGCTGGGGGCACAGGCAGACAAGAGGGTCTAGTGCTGGGCTAGGGTAGGCCAGGGCCAGGGGGAAGGGACAGGTGCTGGGGAGGTGAGGTGTGACCCCAGCATGTACCAAGAGGAGCTGAGGAGCTAAGGAGCCGGAAGTGGCCCAGGAGCAGAGCTAAGAGGAAGAGTCTTTCCTCCTTCTCTCCAGCGGGCATGGCGGGTGCCCAGCCTGAGCTGCTGAGCATGCAGGGAACCCCTGGAGACCTCCTGCCGCCTCTGACTGAGCACATGGCGTGGGTTAGCTCAATCCTCAGACATTTCAAGAGGATAGGTCCTGGCATGGATCCATTTGAAGATGGGAAACTGACTTGCAGGGGGCCTGAATAACTTGGCTAAGGTCACAGCTAAGAAGGGCTAGAGCTGAGATTTGAACCCTGGCAGTGCGGCTTCACAATCCATGATTTAAAAGTAGTTCCCTTTCTCTTTTATTAAAAAAATCAACATGTTGCTGGGGATTTAGCTCAGTGGTTCTGCTGCCTGCCTTGAAAGCGCAAGGTCCCCAGTTCGATTGCCGGTACCAAAAAAAAAAAAAAAAGAAATGAACATGTTAAAGTTATTTTATTGAAAACTTAGAAAAAAAATAAGTGCGTGAAAGAAAAGCGGTGAATTATACCACTTGGATGAGGGGTTTCTGGCCTTGTGTAGTGGAATAGCAGCACAGCGGGAGCCTGGGTGTGAAGACAGGCTTGACAAACTGAGCCATTTATGGGGACACTTTTTACCTGGAGGCCCTGGGTTTGCCAGGGGAGTGTGCTGTGTGGCTGGGGACAGAGGCTGTGGGGACAGGTCATGCGTGCCTGAACACAGGTGGAGAGAGGTGGGTTCCTATGAGGTTCCCACAGGCCAGGTCTGGGTCCAGGGAAGGGCTGGAGTGCAGAAGGCTTCATGGAGGACATGGGCTGGGAGCAGCTGAATGCCCAGGAATGTGGAGACATCCGAGCTGCCCAGTTAAACCCCACTGTCTCAAACTGAGGTCCTTCCCAGTTTTGCACCCTCCCATCGTTTTGTGGATGATGTGTCCCCAGATAAGCCTTCCTCATGTCACAAGACTGCCACAGCAGCTCAGGAGTCTCATCCTGACAAACAGAACCCTAAGGAGGGCTGGCTGTGCATCTTAACTGTCTGCCTCTCAGTCAGAGTATAAATATTTTTCCAGGATTTTGCCCCACGTCTGCCGGGCCAGAATTGCATCCCATGTTGCCGCTGTTGAAATCAGTTTCTGGTAAGGGAAAAGAGGTTTCTGGCTCTGACTCAAGGAAGCTCCTGACTCTGATAGAAAGGAAGAAGGTGACCAGAGGGCACACGAGGACAGTGAGGGGTCCAGTTAGCAGGGACCCGGGCATGAGGGGGAAGGAGGCTGGAAAGTTTGAGTGAGGGCACAGCGAGGTGTGCCAGGGCCAGAGGACCAGCTAACACGTGTCCCTTGACAGAACCGAGTCACTTAGCACTGAACAAAGACGATGTGCTGCCCCCATGTCACCAAGGGCTCCAGCGCTGCGCAGGCCCCTGCCCGTCCCCACCCCCACCCCCAGAGCCTCACCGCTACTCGAGCGCTTTTCCCTAGACAGCCAAGGAGTAAACATTGGAAGCTTTGTGGGCCAGGGCCGGATGGAGGCTGGCAGACTGCAGTGCGCGGTGGGCGGAGGGAAAGGGCGCAGCTGCGCGGTATGCTGTTAAGAGAGGGCGTGGCTGGACGGCTGGGACCGGGTCCTGAGCCCAGCAGGGGCGGCGAGGACCTGGGGAGGCAGCACAGGGTCTGGAAAGAAGTGGCCTTGGACTCACACAGACCTCAAGTGTCTTGCTGCCCTCCGGCTACCCGCTGTGTTAGGCAGGTGTGAACGCCTCAGCTCTTCCTCCGCGGTGGGGGCTCGGGGAGGACCCTGCAAAGCTCCAGCCCAGGGAGTGGCTCGGGGTGCCCAGGATGTGGGTCGGACGGAGGAACTGTGCGGGCCCTGCTGGGAAGGCCCCCTCCCTGTGACTGGACTTGTCACTCTGGGCCGAAGACTGTGAGGGTAGCAGTCTGCATCGAGGAGTCACGAGATGCTTTAATATGATAGGCAGAACTCCTAACGCCAGCTCTGACAGCTGCTGAGTCACGGCAATCTCTGCCGGGCATTCCAGCCTTGCTCAATATCCCATTTGCATGACCTCACATGGCCTTTCTGCTTTTTTTTTTTAATTTGGTACCGGGATCGAATTTAGGACCTTGCCCTTGAGAAGCAGGCGTGGTGCCACTGAGCTAAATTCCCAGCCCTTCTGCTTTCTTTTTTAAGTACAGAACGCTTATGAATCTGTGTGTCATCCTTGCTCAGGGAAGGATGTATGTGCTTCGCTGTATGGCTCCAATTTCAGTATACTCAGCAGCACGGCCTCTGCTTCAAAGGGAAAAATGCACGTAGATGCGTGGTCGGATGGGGCCATAGGAAGCGCCTCAGGTGGCCTCTATAAATAACACTTCCCAGATGTGAGCGGGCTGGACCCTGTTTCCATTACCTGCTTGACTCCCACAAAGTAGGGGCCCGCTGAGTACCCCCGAGGGCCCTGGAGGGAGCCGCAGGCTGACTTGGAGACCTTAGTGTGTGAAGAAGGGGCACAGGCGTGTCAGGTGTGTGGCCTGGGTTTGTATCTTGCTGCCTGCTTTAAAATGGGGATAAAGGCACCTGCCTGACCAGGCAGTGCTGAGGGGCCCCAACAGTGCATGGACCATTGGGAAGGTATCACCGGAGCTTACCGCAGCACCCAGCTCTCTGTTCATTTTCTTAATGGTGTCTTTGAAGCACTAATGCATGCATAAGCCTGATCTTCATTACCTTAAAAAGAAAGAAGGAAGAAAAGAAAGAGATCAGATTGCCTAGTTCCATGGTAGCCCTTCTAGTGTACACAACAGAGTTAGCTGAGGACACATATCTCAGATCATATCCCATCATTAAAGAACACCTGAGTATATAGAAAATACTTAGTGACTATTTTAGAATGGTCTCTTTTTAGACTTTCAGCCCCTCATTCTCTCCTGGGGCCTTTAACCGTGGGCCTCTGAAATCCTGTTATTTCTCTGTGGCCCCTTCCTGAAGCACCGTCAGAGTCTGGCGGCAGAATGTGAGCTGTGTCACCTCCCTCCCTGAGCTGCCCTTCCTTTGACATCTGCAGGGTGGGGTGGTGCCCTTCACCCCTAGGCTGCTGTGAGCTCAATGAGATCACATGAGGGAAGCCTTAGCACATGGCAGGGCTCGGGGAAAACAGCCAGGGGATGCGTTTGCTTTCCTGGTGATTCAGTCATCCACCCGTCCAGCAGCTGTAGCTGCCCGGCCCTGGACCTGCCCGTTCCTCCTTCAACCCCTGCCCACCGAGCACTGTGAGTGCACTGGCTGGGCATCTATCTGCAGGAGAAGCCAGCTTCATGCTGGCCCAGCTCGTGGTGCCGAGTGCTGTTTGGAATGTGCCATGGGGAGGCTGAGTCTTCCCCAGGCGGGCGGTGGCTCATCCTCCTGTCATGCTTTCTCAGGTCTTGTTCCAGGACCGATGGAATTAGCAATAAAGAGAAACTTAGAGGCACCATTTCCCTTCTGCCCTCAAATGATCTCCATGTCATGACAAGCATTGTGGGTCATCTGTTATAAGGAAGCAGCATGTCTTACCCTTGTGTGGGCAAGGTGATATATTAGGGAAGTTGTCTACTGTCCACAATGTCTTCTTTTGGTTTTTGCTTTTTGGTACTGGGGATCGAACTCGGGTCCTTGCACTTGTGCAGCAGGCAGCGAAAGCACTGAGCTAAATCCCAGCCCTGGTTTTTTTTTAAACCAGAGGGTACATTTCTCATTCCTGAGTTGAACTTTTTTTTTTTTTTTTTTTTTGGATAGTGTCTCTCTTTGTAGTCCAGGCTGGGCTGGAACTTGCCATATAGCCTAGGGTGGTCTCAAACTCCAGTCCTCCTCCCTCAGCCTCCTGACGGTGAACAGTGACTCTGAACAGTGACTACTCGGGCCAGGGAAAAATCCTGTGTGATTTTCAAAATTAGCTGCTAAGCTTTTTTTGTATAATGATCTCTTACTAGTTATGTATATGTGTATTTATTTTTATTTTGAGACAAGTTCTTGGTATGTGGCCCAGCCTGGAATCTCCCTGCTTCAGTCTCCCAAGTGCTGGGTTTACAGGCATGTGTGCCCTCACATCCAGCAGTTGCTGACCTTTTTGTTTTTTTGTTTGTTTGTTTGTTTGTTTGATTTTTGAGACAGGGTCTCACTGTGTAGTTGAGGCTGGCTTTGAACTCACTGTTGGTCCAAGCTGGCCTCAAACTCACAGCAGTCCTCCTGCCCCAGCCTCCCGAGGGCTAGGATAACAGGTGTGCGCCACCATGCCTGGCAGGTGCTGACCTGTTAACCTGTTGGCTCGTCATCATTCTGAGTTGTTCTGTTTTTGAGGCCTAAATCCATGCTTTCAGGAGACTTGTGTGGTCTAAAAAATGAAAATAAGTTGCTTAGGAATTGCGAAGGCTCTTGTCACCATAGATGTGGCAGTGGTGTGTACGCGTGTGAGCATGTGTGGGTCATGTGCATAAGCACTAACCTCCTCATGGATGACAATGTGGATAATTTTGGTGGCCGGGAATCTTTTTAAATTGAGTTGAAACAATAGAGATGTGTTTTTAAAAGTAAGAATTTAAAAACCTGACCAGAGGGAGCGATTCTCAGCAAGTCTTCCCGGAGGCAGAACTTGTGTTGCTCTCTAGAACTCCCAAGTGGGCCTCCTCTTGGAAGGCAGCGCCTAACGCCTGACTAAATCCTTCCTCCCAGGCTGACGCGTGCCACGCCTACCAAATCATTCACGGCAATGGGATCCCGGACGAGCAGATTGTCGTGATGATGTATGATGACATTGCCCACTCTGAAGAGTAAGTAGGGAGCACTTTGAAGTTGGTGGCAAAGTACAACATTCAAAATAAAAAATGACACCCAGAGCAGTGGCCTAGTATAGAATGTAAACCACCCCTCAGATGAGAGGCATCAGGAATCCTGGACTGAGCATTGAATACAACTCAGGGACAGCCTGGCAGGGGCAGTGATGAAGGGAATAGTGCTGGAGGTGGGTTCTTCGGTGCCTGTTCCTAATTCCCAAGCCCAAGCGTGGCACAGAGAGCCTGTGAACAGGGAGTAGTGTTTGTATGTTACACCCCACTGGTGTCCTTTCTCCTACTCCTATGACTCATTGAACTTAAGCGTTCAATGGTTCTCATGAGCCTCCTTACCTGGGCCCTTGAGAAAATGAGGCAAAGCAAGTATGGCACCGTGCCTACCTAGTTCTCGCCTCCCCAGCTGCCTGCTGTGGTTCCCGGAAGGATGCTGCCTTCCACCCTTTACTGAGATCCTATCTCCAGCTCTCTCGGGATCCATTCCGAGCCTTGAGCCCTAGGGCCTGGTGTTCAAGTCTTTTTGTCTTTTTTCAAGAAGAGGAACTTGGCCCTGAGATCTCTTGGTGAGATCTTGCCCCAGATGCTGTGTGGTGTCAGTCGCCTCCGCTTTGCTCCCTGTCGTGCATGTTTAGAGCTCTGGCCCTCCCCAGTCCTGCTGAGAGTTCTTGGGTTGTGGGACCCTGAGATACTCAAGCTGTTAAAGCCACCGCGCACTGATGGCCATGCAGGTGATGATGAATGTCTTCAGCAGATGTAGTTGTTTACTGTTTCTTCACATAATGGGGACATATTTTGAAGAAAGATTTCAGAGGCAAGTCACATTTTGTATTTCAACTGTGTCCTTTAATTTCCAGAAACCCCACTCCAGGAATTGTGATCAACAGGCCTGGAGGCTCGGATGTGTACAAGGGAGTCCTTAAGGATTACACCGGAGAGGTGAGCTCCTTCTGGGGTTGGAGCCAGCAGGCTGTTTTCATTTCCATGACGATTTTTCTTTCCTTCTTGTATTTCTAGAATCAGAGTCTTGATAGACTGATTTCTAGTCAGTGTTTCAGGTTTGTCTTAGGATTAGTGCTTCTAGAGTAAATTAGAGGAGGGTTTTTTGTGCTGGGATCGAATCCAGGACCTCACACCTTCTAGGCAAACATGCTATCACTGAGTTACCTCCCTAACCCTATTTTTTTTTTTTTTTTTTTTGCTACTGGGGATCGAACTCGGGTCCTTGCGCTTGCG